AAACTCCTTGGCTCAAGCAATCCACTCGCCTCAGTCACCCAAAGCGTTGTGATTACAGGCATGAGACACAGCACCTTGCCACCTATGTATTTTTCTTTTTACTGGTTTGTTAATTTTTGTTTGACTTTCTGATATCAAAATAAGTAGTCTTTCATTTACTGAGATGGGATATCTATAAATAATAAAACTTAGCCTTAAAATTGTGGATCCCGAACTGAAAACATTTGTTTACTGGATTTACCATTTCAAAGACCTTAAAATTTTGTTCAAATATCACTGACATATACTAAACTCTTTGGAATTCTGTAGATAGGAGAGAATAGCTTGGAAGATCCCCATCAGAATTGAACTTACCAAAGAATTTGAAAAGGGCATTTAATTTCAGCTACTACTCCTCTTTTACCTGCCCTCTCATATTGTTGATTGTCACAATAAGCAGTCTCGTCGCATTGCTACTCTGAAGCTATTACACATTTTTATGGGTTAGACTTTAGGGAAAATAAAAATATTGGACCAATTACATAATAAAAATAAAACACCATTTACTCAATGATGAAGTCCATTTAGTTCTGTTCTCTCTGACCTTCCTCACTCTGCCTCCCCCATTTCTCTCAACCTTCTTTAAAGTTCAAAACCTACTAGAACACCAGGAAGAGTAAGTAAAATATAAAATGTCAAGAATGTGATGAATCCACCTCCCAGAATTGGTATCATTGACATATATGTTGGATCATTTGAGATTTTAGATAGTATAGGGTTGACTCATCCAATATTTTCAAGAATATTCCCACCTAATTGTATGCATTCTATCTTTTAGGAGGCCATTACCTGATCATCTAGTTTTATTTATTAGAAAGGAATTATGTTTTCTAAAAATAAATGAAATGGTACAGATATAGATTCTCCAACTTTACAAACCACAATAGTAGACAACAGGCAATTGAAACTGTTCAGCTTTGGTCGGGAAAGTAACCAGCACTGGGTGATAATGTAAATCTTACTGTCAAGAAGAGTTTAACCTTTCAATTTCAATGGTTAGGAAAGAAAAGTTTGTCATTTTGGCTGTTGACTTGAATATCACCTACTTAAAATAAAGACTTAACTATTATAGTAAGGTATTGCTTAATTAATAATTCATAATCAGGCTCAATTTTAAGTCAGTTAACTAGCATTCACCAGAATCCTTGTAGATAGAGTAAAAATATGTTAGCTTGTAAGAGTTGGTAAAAACGATTTTCTAAGGCTCATGATAACCCCTATGAATGATATCTCTATTACTTCCTATTTATAGAACTGTGTAGAATGCATTAAATTGAACTAAGATTTGAGTCAGTAGAAGTGAGTTAAAATTCTCACTGCATTAAATTGAACTAAGAGATATTTAGTTACCTAATATGACTTGTATATAGATGAAGTCTTAAACCTTTCTTTTGGCATAATTAGAATTATTTGGCGAGGTATCATGTGAAATGATCATATAATAAAGTATTTTACTATAATATGAATATAAATATTATCATTATGGTAACTTCATTAGCATGCTATAGTTTCATAACTATTTTTACTTGCAAATTTTTTGTTAAAAATGGACTGAACTTGACAAAGGTTGAGGGGGAAAAAGAGGCTTTAAAATATGTAGATATTATCTTTTTAGTATATCATTGGCTTTTAGTCACTTTTATGTCACTTAGCAACATTTAGTAAAGATCTTTGTTTTAAATCGAGTTGCACAGCATTCAGAGGCAAACCCAGTTGGAAATCCAAAACTTTCTGCTTACTTAAATTGTCTAGGGCTAAAAAGGTATTTCTAACAATGATTTAGAATGATTCAATTAAAATAATGTATACAGTACTGCTTCCCTTTACTTTCAAGTTTTAGGTGATATAGCTAAGTCACTTTTAGCTCACTGAGAGAAGGACCAAGATGACACAGCCTCAGATATTTTCTGAAATTTCCCATGGAATTGGAGATCTGTTAGAACAAAAACTTTTCCACCCCTCTGCCAGTGGTCCTTAAACCAACAGCTTTGGCCTCATCTGTGAATGTGAGAGAAATGTAAATATATGAATCCTACTCTATCTATTGAATCAAGATCTCTGGGGGTGAGGCCCAGGAAACTTTGTTTTAACAAGCTCTCTAGGTAATTTTTATGCATTGTTGAAGTTTGAGAACCACTGCCCTAGGCCAAGGATATAAAAAGGAGACAGACATAAAGTAGGCTAACATCGAATGAGCCTGGAGAGTAAGCATTATGTGGCTGTCTTCTACTATCTCCAGTTGTAGCAAACGGCCTTTTGCTCCGTATCCTGTAGTGTTCTTAGAGTGTTCTGTAGCATCTCAGTGATGGTTTAATATTAAGTGTGTTATGTGCATGTTGGGGAGGTCAGGAATTGTAACGAGTAGGTATGAAAAGAGACTAAAAAAGTATTTTAAATGTGTTTGAAAAAAATAGAGCATGAACATTTAATTCTTGGATAATTTCCAATTATTACAATTTAA